TGCTACAGGGAATATAAGTGCTTCCCTATACTTATAAAGACAAGCTCAAAAAATGGAAAACAACTTATCTGCGCAGTTGATCGGGAGCGCTCAAAAAAAGACGTCCATCCACCGTGACAGTCCGAACCGAGCACCAGTCGGTTCAGAGTACCAGAGAACCAGTCCGAACCTTCGCCACTGTCATCAGCGCACCTTGTGGGATTGGCGCACCAAAGGACCCTCTCTGGCGTGCAAAAAGCGCCGCGGTCATCATACGCCGCCATTCTAGTCACCTTACCTTCGGGGTGGAGGAATCTAGGGCACATTTTTCGACCAATTTCATCGCTGAATTGGTGGCTGTAACTGTTAAAGCTGCATAAGTGAATGCATAAGGAACCCTGTAAGTATACCTGGCTGCTCCAGCTCAAAAGCCTGTCGATTCTTACGCTATCGTCAGATTTAGAGAACTCTGTTGCATAATACGTAAACGTCACTGCGCGGGCTCAAAGATTCGTTGCACATCGCTATGGATCCAACTATGTATTTGCTGTCACATTCTTAGAAAGTACCAGTAATATCCGTAATCCTTTAAAGATTTCAATCCGGCATTTTAGTACATTTTTTGGGGGCGAGGGGGAGAGGTGTCAGGAGGGTTATGATAAGGTACCTCATGTGGCCTTTGAGCTTCGGCGAATTGGCCTTCAATGTTTGTTTTCCAATTTTTCTTTGAAAATTTGCAATCGCTTGGCTGTTCTGTGTACAGAGAATAGGGGGAGAAGAAGGCGATGACAACAGCAGTGCGTTTCGCAGTAACGAGGCTATGGTGGGCCAATTTGCTTTGTTGATTGATTGATATGTGAGGTTTAACGTCCCAAAACCACTATATGATTATGAGAGACGCCGTAGTGGAGGGCTCCGGAAATTTAGACCACCTGGGGTTCTTTAACGTGCACCCAAACCTGAGCACACGGGCCTACAACATTTCCGCCTCCATCGAAATGCAGCCGCCGCAGCCGGGATTCGAACCCGCGCCCTGCGGGTCAGTAGCCAATTTGCTTTGTTTTGTAGGAGTTCCGGCATGCTTTGTCATAAGGATTTAAGGTCAGAAACCGAAACGGCGCGATCACCGTAGAAGACGACGAGGAAGAGCGCACTCACTGGCTGTGAAAGAGCATGTGCCAATGTTCGAGGCAGAGCAGAGTTCGAGGCAGTTCTCAGCTGGACGTCCTATCCAGAGAACTTGTGGACGTCTTCCGCGTGCTGTTATGTCCCTGCAATCTTGCTGGGTGACTGGCCAAAGGACCACGTGGTGCACTGCTGATCCAGCTGCCGCCCCTGACAGCTGGGCAACCGACGGACGAGGCCCGTAGTTCAGCTGGCCGACTAGCCCAGGGTTCAGGAGAGCTGCCCTGATTCCGGTCGCCGTCCACAGTGCCTGCGAATTCCAGTCTGCTGTGGGCCGCTGTTCCGGCTGCCCTTCCAGGCGGATGGCATGACCTTGGTGGGTTGCCGAGACGAGCGTGATGGCTGTTGAGCTACCGCTGCCCTACTGCTGCGGGTGGGGAAGACAGCCGTGAGAAGGCGTGGGCCGACTCACGCTGAGAGCATCAGCAAGCCAGAGGCGTGCCGTCCGGAGTGGTCGGTGAGGAACACGTCACAAGACAAATGCGGCGAGAGACTTATTTCAGGCGCGCATTTAAAAAAGGACTGCACCAGACAGCCTAACTTTAGATACGCGACATTAACATTTGCATTCTTGATTGTAAATATATTTTTATTTGTGTGCGTGTGTACTCGTTGATTGATTTCATTCCTTGGGTGGCAGTCCTGGGCCGAACAAAAATGTGTTATTGCATTGCAATCTGGCGAGCCTGCCAGGATACCGCTGCTAAAAGCATTGAAATAAAATACCATATCTCGAGTGCACTCTCACAGTAGTCGCATGGGCAGCAGAAAGAGCTCTGCGAATTTTCAAGCTGCAGCTAAAGCTTCAAAAAAGCGTAATTTCAGGCGCAGCAACAAACCATGAGCCTATGCATCTAGTGAAATATGCCTTTTTGGTTCTCAACCCACCTAAACCGTTGTTTGATGAACGACGCGATGACCTGCATTCATATTTGCAAAGGCTTGAGTGCGTAGCAACTGGAAAGGATTGGCCACAAGATTAATGGGCCCTCACAATTAACATGCATGTAACCGGTGAAGCATTAACAGTGATAGGCCTCGTGACTGCCACTGATTCAATGAATTATCACAAAGTGTAAAAGGCAGTGCTGAAAAGATTCCGTTTTACCACGCAAGGCTAACGTGAGAGTTTTTGCAAACCGTGACTGGAGGACGGAGAAGCGGCAAGGCAAATAGTTGCTAGACTACCAGGGTTCTTTGACCACTGGATAGATATGGCCAGTGTCCTGAGAACCTTTAAGAGCCTCTGGGATCACATTATTGCCGAACAGTTTCTTCATTGCTGCAATCTGAAGCTGACTATTGCCCTAGAAGAACGAGAATGGATGTCGCTTCAGCAGCTCGTTCCAGCTTGTGACCGATTCCTGGAAGCACAGAACCTTTCCAATATTGGCAAGTAGCAGCGCTAGACAAAGAGGCTTCTGAAGCATGAATGCTTCAGAAGCTCCAAAGAAAACAGAACTTGAAGTGTACGTTGTGCAACTGTATGTGCCATCAAGCTCATGAATGCATATTCAAGCTGAGGAAACGAGCGACCCAGAGGCGTGTCGTCCCGAGTGATCGGCGACGAACAAGCCACAAAGCAAACACCGCAAAATATTTTAATTTAGAGCCGTTTTTAGAAAAGCACTGCACGGAACACTGTAACTTCAGTTATGCGTCATTAACATTTGTATTTTTGACTGTATATATTTTCATCTATGAAGGGTCTACTCTCAACATAGTTCTTCGTAGAAAAGCGACAAAATACCAATAAATACTGGTGCACCACAAGGGCATACAATGTTCCCAACGCTATTTACCGCGTCCTTACAATCGGTTTTCAGAGGCTTAGAATGAGAAGAGTTTGGTATAAAAGTTAATTAAGAGTACCTTAGTAACCTACGCTTCGCCGATGACATCGCATTGCTGAGTAGCTCAGGGGATGAATTGAAACTCATGATCACGGCGTTAGACAAAGAGAGCAGAAAGGTAGGTCTTAAAATTAATCTGCAGAAAACGAAACTACTGCACAACAATCTAGGAAGAGAACAGCGCTTCCAGATAAGTAGCAGTGCACTTGAATTTGTAAAAGAGTACATATACTTAGGAAAGGTAGTAATCGCGGAGCTGAACCACGAGATTAAAGAAACTAGAAGGATAAGAATGTGGTGGAGCACATTCGGCAAGCCTTCTCAAATGAAGACTGGTAAATTGCCACTGTCTCTCGAAAGGGAAGGAGTATAACAGCTGCATATTGCCGGTGGTTACTTGCGAAGCAGAAACCTGGAGGCTTACAAAGAGGGTACAGCTGAAATTGAGGACGACGCAACGAGCGATTGAAATGAGAGTGATAGGTGTAACCTTAAAAGACAAGAGAGCAGAATAGGTCAAGGGTGAAGGATATCGTACTTCAAATCAACAAGAAGAAGTAGGTGATTTCTTCAGCACTGGTCTTGCCCTTTTGTGTCGGTCTGTGATGGACGAGTGAAACTTGTCTTTCGGGTGGCCTTGTATTGGTAGGTTTATGTGTCGACGCACCGGCAAAAATGACATGCCATCATGTAAATGTGAAATGCACATATTTATATTTTATTTGTGACTCTTGTTTACCGTGCAATATTCATAGGTGTATCTGTTCTATTGTGACACATTTTTGTGTGGCTTTGTTCGTGTAAACCATCGAATGGACATGCTCTTTTCACGTCATCCTTTATCCATATTCAAGTAAATGAAGCCTGTTTTCTCATCGTCGTTATTGTATGTCTAAAAAAATTTTGTGTAAATGTTATTGACATCTATAACAATAAATTTTTCTACACAGGCAAGGCACGTAGCGCGTAGTCAGGATAACCGCTGCTCATCGAGAGTAACTCACTGGATTCGCAGAGAAGGCAAGTGGTTGAGCGGGAAACAAAGTCACGTGGGCAGATGATATTGGGAAGTTTGCGGGTATAAAGTGGCTACAGCTAACACAGTACCGAGTTGACTGGTGGAACATGGGAGAGGCAGTCATCCTGCAGTGGGTATTGTTAGGCAGATGATGATGATGATGATGATCTGCCTGACATATTTTTCATTTGTGGGTGTCTGCACTCGTGGGTCGATTGAATTTCTTGGATGCCGGTCCTGGGCCTAATAATAACCTAGTATTACATCTCAGTCATACTTATTCCCTCCGTTCATGGCAACAGAGAGATTTAGTGCCTGATACCCCGACAGGCATTCATACCCAAGCCTTCTTTCACAGTCTCCTTGGGAGCAAGAGGGAACAGAAGAAAACGGGGAGAAATAAAAAAAATCTGGACATTCAAAAGCGATGAGGTCTCCAACACTGAAACTCTCTGTCAGAGAGCTTTAGTGTCGAGGCCTTAGGGAATCTCGCTCAAGTATTTACATGTTTGTTTTTGTATTTACTATGCGTTTGGTTTGGAGTACAAGGCAACGCAAAGGTTTATGTACAGAAGGAGTTTTAGAGCCCCGAAAATAAAACAGAATTAGAGTGTTTCAGTGCTGGGAACTCCAAGTGATGTATGTACGCGTGCCCTTGCATCGCTTGGTGTTCGCAGTCATTCCCTTGTAAAATACAAAGAATGCAAGTTCTAGCGTATGCAAAACACTCTGAGGCCCCGGTACTAAACCGGTGTTAACTGTGGGCTGAAGATTACACTTTTGAACACATCGACTCATTACATTTACACGAGCTAGGCGCAGCTGTGGTGCAAATGACAATAACAGGCAACGGTGAAGTTTTGTGCTACTTTCTTTTAGTGACGTTATTTTTGTGCCCTTTGTGCTCGAGCTATTGGCAACCTTGTTTACACAACTGAAACAACAGACGACTGAAAATTACTCACGTCATCTGAGTTGTTTCCAGGGATCACGATGTCACCCTCGAAAAGCAGTGTCGATTCAAGAGCCTGGTTTCCTGCATTCGCACAAGAAAGGAATAGAACTTTATTTCCCATTCAGCATTGAGGATAAGACGGCGGAGTAAAAAGCCGCAATGAAGCATATTCATAACCTCAACCTGTTGGTAACTTACATGAAAAAGAAACGGCATAAAAAACAAGTAAAATAAAAATGATTTCAACAATAACAAAAAAACAAGAAACAGTAAAAGCTTAAGGTCAAGGAACACACAGAGAATATGTAAACGTATTATTGCAATCGCACACTAAAGAGCTCGTTTGGCAAAAATCTTGGTACCGATTTTGGTGTCAGCGTCGTTGGTTGTGAGCGGAAAATCTTCTTGTGTGTGACCGAAGAAGCGAGAAAGACGCAAATAAAGAAATCTAAAAAAACTCGGCATCCAAATGGGGTAGCACCCAAGCTACTGGCGTTGAACGCGGGTATTCTACCATACAGACACACATCTCCTCGTAAGAACTGTGAAAATAACTTCCTCCGTTTGGAAAAACAGCTAGCGACAGTAAAATTCATTCTTTACAAACAGACGCGTCCTGTACATATGCCGCACGATACAACACAAAATATCGCAGTAATATTGCGTGGTACTAGCGTACATTGCCATCGGGCGTCAGAACGTGTCATTATCGTTACGAATTCATTGTTTAAAGCCGGTCCACTTCTACAAAATCCACACGCACTAGTGCGCGTGTTCCCTCATGACCACGTACTGTATTTACAGCAAGTTCGAAGTGATTTATTGCACTAAGTGTTTAAAGTACGCACTATAAGGACAGGATATCGCTATCACCTTTAACTCCTAAACGCGAAGCTTAAGAATCCCCCACTTTTTATGCCTTTGTGCATACTCAACAAGATAAAATGTCCAATTTGAGAGCCACGTTTGGTAAGGTTGCGGTCGCTCGCTTTTCCCAGAGGATGAAGTGCAAAACGGAGCACTTCATCCGCCGTCAAATTTACGTCGCGACAACTCAGTAGTAGTGCAAGCATTTTGGGGTTAGTTGGTTCATAATTTGCTATAAAAACTGCGCTAACAGGCACGATGAAGAACACACACATACCACGGCACTTTTGTTGCCAGTCAGCGTCGTTGGTTTGTGTCCTTTCTTCATGCCGTCTTTTGAGCGCTGTTTTCTGCTGTAAACTAAGTTCTTCCGGATACAGCCGAATACAGAAGGCATACAATATAGATGGTGATATTCTCTTACGATAATTCTTAGAAGAGACTTATTTTGGTGTTTGATGGATGGCTGAGGATGCCGTGAATAAGTGTTCTTTTAACGCGTAGTAGAGTTCGAGAGCGCTCACCGGACTTCAGCCACAGTAGTAAGAGCTTAGCCTCGACAATACGCCAGTAAAGTTATGTGTCTTCACATGCTCCAACGTGTGAGGTTCATAAGTAAGGATTTCATACGCTGACTTGATCAAACGTATCATCATGTGCATGCAATCTAGTGTGTCGGTGGTGCACGCGGTATTCGAGGTGATAAAGTTGAATTATGCAGTTAATTAGGGTGTCTGTGTACTTAGGTGCCACAGCCATATCAAAAGACATGGCGATTGAAAACAGCTGCTTGTGCAAACGCAAATGTTGCACTTAGCAGGGAGATTTAGCGGTGCCCGTAATGCCTTACCGTTTCCGCCACCGTACTGCCACGCCACGTTAAACTTACCCCAAACCGTAATCATTTCAGTTTTGTAAAACGTCAGTGCGTACGGTAATACGATGAGATAACTATAGCGAATCATACAGGTCTTCGAGACTCGAATGTCAACATGCCGACCACGATGGTACAGTATCCCCTTACATGCCATACGATAAACCAGTAGTCCTAAGAGACCACAAGGCCAGCGACATAAAGCTACTTTAACAATAGCACAAGGGGCAATATACCAGTTATTTACGTCAAACATATTCGATGAGTGTTGAAGAGCAGAATTACACTTATGTGGGAAAAATTCAAAGATTGGGGCGGATTCATAGCATGTCATAACTCATGACGTCCGTTTAACTGTGGCTAGCAAACACAGGTGATCATTATCCAACAGTTAGCTACAGCATTACCTAAAAGACACCAAGACTGACCAGGTTTGTCCACTGTGAAGACTTGGGAGTAAATACGATAGATTTATTACAGTAGATTTCAAGAACACAGATGCTTAATTTTCATATGTATACCTCTTCTACGTTACAATCTTTATGATGAATTTATTGTCATGCTTTACGTCTCTTGAAGGTTTTTTTCTCTAATTTTGTCCACAAATTTTTATCCTCCTTTTATTGTACAAGACGTTTTCACAAAACACCTCTGGACGTACCTGGGTGTGGCCATACTGGTGCTGCTAGAATCGCACGCAACGCGGACATCAGCAAAAGCGCAGCAGTGCAGGTCAACGGTGCGAATCCCATGTTGACAGTCTATTCGGCTCCGTCACGGCGAACTAAGCCGTCTTCGGGCGTTCACTGCAGTCGGTGTCCTGGCAGCGATGCTCTCGATGAACTTTAAACGTTGTGATTAGATACACACGTGTTTGCCAAGGTCACGAAGCTATGTACTCGTTTAAGCGCTTCGGACTGCTCCATGAGCGGGCGCCGTTCGCTTGTGTATTTTCAGACGCGTGGCCCACGCCTCCATCATTACGAATTCATCCAGTGACAATACTTCCGATGTTCACGCATGATGTCATGTCCTCCCGAGGACGTCAACGCCGCTAGCGGATGCGAATTACTGGAAACGACTTCGATGGCCCTCTCAGAGTGATAAGCGTATCAGCTTGAGCGAAGGCGTACCGTTTTTTTTTTTTGACGCACGCTGATATGACGACAGCGATACGCTCCGATATCGCTGCAATTGTTCAAAGCTCTCCGTTTTGTTGACACCGCATTCGCGTGCAAGTTATGGTAGCGTAATCACTGTGCACAGCCATCGACACAAATTCACTTACGCAATGGGTCATTCTTTTAAATTCTGACACCTGCTTCTTGTATAACAATGTACTTATTGAAAAGATTGAACGTGTCTAGAAGTCACCCATGGAAAGCAAACACATACTGTTGAAGTCACTCTCTATTTGCTAAAATTAGTCTTAATGCCTAAATATTTGCGATATCATTCGACCTATTACCAACAAAGTTATGACGTCACTATGGAAACCCCTTTTGTACCAACGTACGCCGACATTTTTATGCATCAATTGCAACCAGAGCTTTTTGAATAATCTCTGCTAAAGCCCCTTGTTCCCTTTCACTACGTAGATGAGATATTTATTATAGGAGAAAGTGACGTAAAACAGGGAACCCGTTCAATAATTATTCGAAAAACTTCACCCTTTCGATAAATGCACCATGTCCCGTTCCTCTAGTAAGCTTAGCTTCCTAGACACGACAGTGTTTACTGAAAGTGTAAGATATTTATCGAATGTACTTGTTAACAAGAATCGCTTGTGGGCACCAAATGTTTTTTTTTCTGTGTGTTTAATTTTCACGTTCGCCGGCTCCGTGCCTGGAAGTTTACAACGAAATCTTTTTATGGGATCCCAACGAAGGTCACGTGCGCCGTAGTTGTCCGCACCCACTGGTGTCCGTGAAATATCAAGTAGATTAAAAATTGCCCGCAGCTTCCCTCGGGGGAACACTGAGGAGGATGCGGACCATATAATTGGTTAACGGGGTGTTAAAGTGCGACTTACTTGGGTCGATGGCTAAATTGGTTAACGTGGTTGTGAAATGGGGTGTTAAATTGCGACTTACTTGGGTCGATGGCTAAATTGGTTAACGTGGTTGTAGGAGGGGGTGTTAAATGAGTGAACACGTACACACGTATGCGAAAGGGCGGCGCTGGTCGAAGGGACGTCGATCATTGTGTTTGTGGATTCGTTGGAATTCGTTTCACCGCGACCTTGGACGTCGACGCGCCGTACAAACCAACCGACGAGCGGCAACTGAGCGAGCGAGCGCCGACCTTGAGTATATATACAGCACGACGGCGCATTCACTGTCAGCTGTTGAATGTTCTCGAAGCGCGACGCCACATGCGCGTCCACTGGAGAATCAGGAGAATTGTAGATGTCGAACGTGGTGTGTAGAGGAGGAAGGGTGCACAGATGGTGGAGGAGTGAAGCGCGCGCGGTGTGTAGAGGAGGAAGGGATGCACAGATGGTGGAAGAGTGGGCGACGGCGCGACGGCGCATGCGCGCGCGTCAGCTGTCGAATGTTTGAGAAGCGGTGCGGACGGCGCACTACAAGGCGCGAGTATAAGATGCTCCGCATCTAAAAGAACTAACTAAATCAAAAGCACCTAGTACATTATGGGGTTCAAATCCGGGTCTACCACTAAGCCCCACCGGTTTTCTCTTTCTTTATTGCCTGTTGCGAGAAATTTTGTACACAAACAATGACGTGAGCGTCACAACAACAAATAGTGACAATCCTACTAGAAAGACACTTCAAATTTCCTAAGAACTGTGAAGGGTTCCACCCTCTACAATCACTCAGGTACAGACTCCTGTGCTTTCTCAAATTCAAACAATTTTGACATGCACCGTCACAAGTACATTGTTGCGGGTCTTGCATCTTGATCACAGTGAAATCTTGCCATACAAGCCCGCCATAAACGTTGGAGGCCTGTTAACATTATGAAGTGAAACGGCAAGCTATCCTCATTATCTATCGAAAGAAATATAATTCTGTATAGATCCAGTCGCAATTCCTTCTTTATTTTCCTCTGCAATATATGCCCGAACATTGCTTGGAGGCACCGAGCCATGCCTATGCTTGAAACTCTGTTGTAAACTGGACTTAGGCAGGCTTGATATCGGGAAAAAACCTAAAGAATTACGTTCATATGAGTGATAACGCGTTTTACAACATCAAAGCAACAGCGAGGTGCCATGCAATGCGCATTGCGTAACGAGTGGGTCCTCGAATGCTCCAACCCATTACAGAAGCTTCGGGCATAATTGTTCATCTTCGTCAGCAACATCATCACAAAATCACACCAAATTCATTGCAAGCGTGTATCGGGTACTATGCTTTGCCGAAGAATGACGAAGGATGGTATAGTGATAATATCTTCTTTCTTATACATCATTTTTAAATGCAAATGCATTTCTTATTCGGGTTATGTCAGACGTCCGTCAGGATCCGTCCACTGCCCTCTCGCATAGCGAAATCAGCGGGTGCGCGCGCCCCTAGCAACCGGAGCCCCCACCATGTGACGCTTCAGCGTCGGCAGCTGTTAGTAACAACCACGAGTGCGCGTGCTTATCCTCGCCCCCAGCAACCGAAGCATGTAGCGTGAGAGAGTGTTAGAGAGGGTAGGTGCAGTGCTTCGACGCTCCTTGTTTCGCCGTTCTCTCTCTCTCCTCCCTGCACCTCACTCTAGACAATTCTCACACTCCACGTCTCACTCTCCCGCGAAGTGTTTCTCCAGAACTTAGCCAACTAGTGTGCCCTGTGAAAGTGTGTGTGTGTGCACGACCCACAGACCTCAGCCAGCTCCCTTGCATGACCATGGATGACCAGTACAGGTACAGACCTTCCGAGGACGCGAAGGCACTCGCGCAAGCTATGATACCACCGCCAGGAGCACTGCCAGCCCGACCTGTGCATAACCTCAAGCACAAACACGGCACAAGCTTTGGTGGCATTCCTTTCGCCCAGCTAGAAAGCCTGCCATCATGTACTCTACAGAAGTCCAGAGAAAACATGGTGATAGCATGGAAGACTGCTACCGAAGACGCTGTATGACACTTGTCACAGGTCCCTCGCGGTGCACTCATGTCTACCAGTGCCCCCACTTCTGCCACACCACAAGACAGCAACCCAATAGCCACCAAAGGCGCAACTGCTGACAAGCACGCCCTTCCACCACTGCCCAAACCATCGCCGGAAGATGAGATGGACACGTCCTCGTCACGGAAGCGTCCCCGCTTCGAGGATAGCAGCGATGTCGAAGCAAACACACGGCACAAGCTGGTTCCAGGCCCCACCTCCCTCAAGGAGAGAGTGACACCAGCGCCGACATCTCGGATTCCTGGCTGTACTTTGATTCTCAATACATTAAAGACTCTACCGACAGTTCTGCAAGCAGCACTACGACTGGGGTGGCCTCGGTGATCCAAGTACACCCCCTGCTGGGACCACATGCCCTTCAGCTGTACCTGCCGTTGATGTTCCTGAGGAAAATGCAGAAGAAGGGATGGTCGAAGCGCCTGGCCACGAGACCATGCTTCATCACCCCGCCGCGGCTTTCCTGAAGGATGCCACAGGTGCCCGTAACACAAGAAACCCTCAGAGGAAGAGGAAGAGGAATCGGCGCAAGAGGAGGGCATTTCCAGTTTTGCAGAGTACAGTGGTTTCCCCACCCTCCTCTGGGAACCAGTACACGCCGACCAAAACCACGGGGCCACCCCCTGCACTCCACGCTGCCCCCAGACACGTGGCTCCCCCTACCAGCGAGACAGTCGACGATGAGGGTTTGCAGACAGTCTACTCCAAGACTGCCTTTCGTTGTACCAAGAACCGGACTTCGGCTGCCCTCCCCGTAGACCCTTGGGTGGTGGGGACAGTGCTCGACCAGCCTGCTTTCACGGGAGGCTCGTACCGGAACTGCCCAAGGCTGACCATAGCCTAGGCGCTCTCGTTGCGCCCGGGAGTCGCTGTAATCCGGTCTAACCAACACCACAACGAGGTAGCAGTGGACGTGACTTCCCAAGATTGCCTTGAACAGCTCATGGCCCTCACAGAGCTGAAGGCAATTCCAGTGACAGCCAGGCAGCTTGCAGACCGCCGAACCGGTATGAGATTCCTCGATGGGGAGGATGGCAACACTGCTGACCAGAACTTGCTGTCCGAACTCCAGTCGGCTGTACGCGTCCTATTGGCATCCAGAGAAGGCCGTACCGTCACGCTGCACTTCGAGGGCGCAGTTGTTCGAAACCACGTGACGCTCTTCAGAGTACGTTTCCCTGGCCGACCAGCCAGACCACGCCCACTCCAGTGTAGGCAGTGGGGTCGGTACAGCCACGTGAATGAGACCTGCAACTGGCCAGACAGCTGCATCCGCTGTGGCCGGTCTCACACAGAGGTCGGTGTGCCAGTGTCTTCGTTGTGTGAATTGCGGTGGCCTTCGCCATGCTGACACGCCAGACTGTTCTCGCTGGCAGGAGCACAGACGAGTAGCTACCATCATGGCTTCTTCAACGACAGCCCTTTCCAGACGAGCAGTCGAGGCAGTTGTGACGGAGGAGACAAGAGAGGTTCGGTCCTATGCAAGTCAAGTGAAAGACCATGCTGCACCAGCCAGACCGACCCCAGCACCACGCAACCTCCACCGGCCAAACCCTTCAGCCATGACCAACACTCCAGCGTGCCTGAAGCCCCAGCTACTCATGTTTCTCAGCCTCCTGTTCGTGTCTCCACGCCTGCAGCCACCACACCCAAGACCCAGCTTGCTGCAACCTCTGCCTTGACGCCTGTAGTGGAGCAACTCCTGGGCCCCCTTCTGGTCTCCTTGCAGGCAGTCGCTGCTTTGCTTCCACCAGAGCACCCGCTTCGTGAGATCTGCCTGCAGGTAGGGCTTTTTATTTTTTTAATTTTCATTTATACAATACTGCAGGTTTTGGGCAGCCCAAGTAGGAGTGGTTTGTTGGTATAACAGTGATGGAAAACCAGTTATAAACAAGATGAAAAAAGATGGGGAAAGAAATACATATTG